AGCAATAGACCCTAACATCAAAATCATGGCATGCGTGTCATGTAACATTATGACTACATGCCACACTCATGATGTGCTCACGGCCGTTTCACATGAACCGAATTCGGTATTACGGAACGTGAATGGATGATGAAGGTATGTGACTGGTGCAAACATGATAATCATGAGATGCGTGTCATGTAAAAACATGACTACATGTTACGCTCATAATGCGCTCACGGCCGTTTCGCTAGCTTCACATGTACCAAATTTGGTATTACGTGACGCGAACGGACGACATAGGTAAATTACACGTCCAGACATGATGATCATGACATGCGTGTCATGTAACAACATGACTACATCCCACACTTATGATGCGCTCACGGCTGTTTCACTACCTTCACATATGCCACAATTTGGTATTACGTAACGTGAAAGGATGACGAAGGTATGCGACTGGTGCAAACATGAGAATCATGAGATGCGTGTCATGTAAGAACATTAATAGACGCCACACTCAAGGCGCCATTGCACTTCGACGACATGCGTCACCCCGATATCCCCCTAGTAGAGATCAGTGGATCTGCCCGCTGACCCTCATTGTGGATCTCCATGCCATATACTCGCAGGCGCACGCCGCGCTGCGTTGCTTTGACGCATGCGCATTTGAGCGCACACGGCGTCCCTCCGTCACGAAGAGAGCCAGACGCGGTGCTGTCTAAACGTCGTCGGCGCAAAATGCAGCATGTCGCATTTCGTGCCGGTTGCCACAGGGCCGCGCCGACGGACGCTAGTCGCACCGGTTGCACCTGGCGTCACTCTATAGAGTGCTCGCGTTTTGCTAGCGTGGCGTCGCTGCGCCGAGCCTGCGCATGTGTCAACGTTGCGTCGGAGTATATTGGGTCCTTCATGACGCGCTCGCCACCGTTGCGCTAGCTCCACATGTACCAAATTAGGTATTACGGGAAGTGAATAGACGATGGAGGTAAATCACACAGCCATACCTGATAATCATAATATACCTTTCATGTAAAACATGACTACATGCTACGCTCATAGCACGCTCGCGGCCGTTTCGCTAGCTCCATATCTACCAAGGTTGGTATCAGGTGACGTTAATACATGACGAAAGTAAATGCAACGTCCAAACATGATAATTATGAAATGAAAGTCATGTACAGCATAATTTACTTCCGCCTATTAACGTTGTGCTGATTTTAAAGTGACCTATCGCCCTCCCTCATTCGTGTTTCGCATATCATCGAATCCCACTGTACGTGGGATCTGCCAATTTTTTTTTATGTATGCTTGTTATGCCAAAGGGCAGTCTTTCGAATTAAAAAAAAAAATCGGCAGATCCCACGTAACTGGCAATCTACGTTATGCGAAGCATGTGGAAGAAAGGTGACCGTGTTGCAATTTTTTATTGAGCGACACGTCATGAAATGACGCTGAATTAATGTACAAATGTCACACACACACAGACATATGTTGAAGAGTTGCAGATGTTTATATAAACAGTAGTTTGCACTTGTGCAACGATGCCAACTGGAAGATTCATATTTGCAAACACGAGAAGCTTATATGAAGCCCTGATGCTCGTGAAGATGCATACCCTGGACACTGCTACATGAATAAACTTCAACGCATGGCAACTAAACGCATCTGACGTTAACCCGACGAGACGGTTGTATCAAAATAATACATATATAATGTTTATAAAATTGGGTAGACACCACTGAAACCACTACTAACGTTTCACGGAGATTAGCGTCTATTTGAAAAGTAGTTCAGAGACCTGGCGTAGCTCTGTGGTAAAATGCTTTTTTGGTACCCAGAATGCTTGGGTTCGATTCCATCTGGGACTCGTCGGGTAGACGCTATCGACGTCGGGTATTTTAACACTCGTTAAAACTACCCATGTGTGTTTATCGTCATTCCTGAGCAGAGAGGTAGTGTCGGATTGAATGAAGCACCTGAGCAAATACCAAGTGTAAATCACCTGTGGCACGTACCCGCATACCAGCGGCACATACCCACCTGTGGTTATGTGCCACTGTCTGGCGGGAAATGTTTGACGCCGTACGCGACGGGATTGGGACATCATTCATAATTTGACAAGTGCGCGTCGTATTCGTAATATCATCTTACCCTCTCATGCTAATTTTGGTTCACGCCAGGTAAATGGGGTGACCACAAGAGCATCCAAACGTAAGCGGCTAGATAGATAGATAGATAGATAGATAGATAGATAGATAGATAGATAGATAGATAGATAGATAGATAGATAGATAGATAGATAGATAGATAGATAGATAGATAGATAGATAGATAGATAGATAGATAGATAGATAGATAGATAGATAGATACGATCAAAGTCGCCGAAGTTCGCCTAGAAATGCTACGCAATTAAAAACAAAACTGTGATGGCGCAAGATTTAGAGGTAGGACTTCACAACTAACTTGACGAGTTAATTGAGGCTCATGACGTTGCGCAATACGAACGCTTAAGAAAATCAAAGACGGGTCGGCATATTCTTGAGTCGCTGGGCATCAGATATCACGCTCAGCAAGCAGAAAAGGTAGAGGTTCCTGCCCCAGTCCGCGACCGCTTGATCATTCTGCCGATTCCTAGGAATAGGCACCCGACGCATTACGTCGGACGGCGTAACTAGCGTGCTAGACAGCTTCAAAAGAAGTTTGGTAACAGTACGGACGTGGTATACGTATAGACGCCGCGAGATATGGAGAAGGGGGAGGAGCACACGTAACTCTGGTTTTTGACAATCAGGGCAATTCTCTCGCGAGCGCCACGGTAACGACGGGACACACGGAGGTGGCCGAAGAGGCTATGATAGCCTTAGCACTCGCCGCAGCGCCGCATGCAGAAATTGTGATAAGCGACTTGCAGGCTGCAGCCCGCAGTTTCGCGCGCGGCCGTGTCTCGCGGGAAGCGGCGCGCATCCTTCAAATGTGTGGGGATGGCGACACGGCGTCGTGCTCACAACCTCAAATTCCAACTCTCTTCCTCCTATGGACCCCGGCACACACCAGCGTTCCACTCGCGGGGAACCAGGCGGCCCACGCCGCGGTTCGGGGTCTCACGCACCGAGCTGTGTCCCACTACGTGGCCGCCACCTCAGACTCCGTGAGCGGGGCGATCAAGACATTTTGATAGAGCGGAATGAATCAAGACACTTTGATAGGCACGCAGCAAGGAAAGGAAAGAAGGAAAATAGGAGGAAAAGAACGACAGGGTGGTTAACCAGCCTGTTGGCAGCCGGTTTGCTACCCTGCGCATGGGAGGGGGATGGAGGAGATGAAAGATAAAGAAGAATCGGAATGGTTATGGGGTGATCTTCTTACGTTCCGTGATATCTCCCAACACTACAGGCTCGAAAGGCGTAGGTTCCCGCCACAGCACGAGAAATTAAACAGGCCGTAAGCTTTCGCTTGCTCCAAACCCACTCCTACCCTATAGCCCTGTCGTTGTACGCCACATCTACCCGAACCTATACCCTTCCGATATGTGTAAAGTGTGCGGGCACAGAGCAACGCTGAGCCCAACGCCTCCTGAGCCACATGCTCTGCAAATGTGCCGGCGAAAACAGTCGTGAAAACACTGCCAATCGCGATGCACCGCCGCCAAGGCCAAATCACAGGAAGCCTCGACCGCCGCCCCAGTTGCGGGAGCCGCGGGGGGCCTTCTTCGTCGGCGTCCCCGCCACTGGGAGGCGGCCCTCCAACGCCCAGAGCTGAACGACCAGCTCTGGGCCGTCCGGCAGGCCAAGGATGCCACCTGAATCCAGGCAATACGAGCCGTCACCTAAAGCCACCGAGACCAAATTTCCGGCCCATTGTGTTCAATAAAGTCTTTTCTCTCTCTGATGGTGCCGGTGTGACTGTCAAGTGTTTGATGCGGTGAACGCTATTCGGCCACTGAGAAAGGGTACCCCTGCACACAAGCATTTTAACCCCCTCTGTCTGTGCACACACTTCTCCTGAAACGCCGACTGCGTGTCACAGTGTTCGTGTGCGACCAACACCACCTAGACTATCACTGGCACGCCGGTGCGCGTTCCTTGCAGTGCACTTGGAAGTGTTCCCGCGCTCTTCTGGGACGCAGACAGCGTTCTAGTCGACAAGCACCGCTTGAGAGAGCTCAGCTGATGGGCGTCTCTTGCACTGCCAGTCCCCAGTCATGACAGGGTGCACTTCTGCACTCAGTGGAAGGACAAACAAATGAAAGAAGTTGTCTCTGGTTTGAAAACACCGCCCTACTTAGTCGACCATCCTTGACGCGATGGATGCCTGGTTCCATCGCGACCACACTGGTTCCATCGCAACCAATAAAACGCAGTGCGCGAGGGGTGGGTTTGACTTTTTCATACTGTTGCCTCGTTCTTAAGGGGGTGTCGCCATAGCTCGGCAAGATCCAGAGCTTTGCGAAACTTGGCCGATTCTGCATAGCGCCCCAAAACTTCTTTCTTCCCTTTGTCAATACCTATCAGAAGACGGCAAGACATTTTCGAACTCAACTGGGGTTTGTACTTGTACCCCATCTTTTTAAATCGCAGCTTTGTGAGATGTGTGCAGGAGGAAAGAAACTGTAATTTTGTCGCCAATAAGCCGAATTTCTTTTTCTCTATTTTGTCAACCTCCCCCACATACGATTCGACCATCCGGCCCCTAATGACTTTATGCAAAGTGGCCGTCCTCCTGAAAAGACTGCTAACTTCTGCTCAATAGCAAATAGTTGTGTACATGAACGAAATAGTTGTGTACATGAACAAGCTATTCCCCAAGTCTTTCGCGCAAGTGTTAACGCTATGGTTGCCACTGTTGTTGTGAACGATCGGGTGTAATCATGTAGATTATCGTAATGCATGCGGGAGAGGTTCCACGGTGCTTAGACGAGTTTGACCATATGATTACGTATAGAGTGAATATAACTGACGCATATTGGTGGTGAACAGCATAATTAATATTGTGCGGCTATTCACTGCATATGCAACAGTCGCTGAGTCCAAGTGCTGGCCAAGGAACTACGGCTTTGGCAGCAATGTGTGCGTGTGCAGCACGTCGTACTGCGACTTCATCGGCAACATCGGGCCTCTGCCTCGAGGAGCAGCACTTGTCTTCGCGAGTACCAAGTCTGGCCGCCGATTTGAAAGGACAGTAATATTCCAGAACGACACAGGTTTGTTAAAATTCGTACTGTGCACATCTAATATGCATTATCACGCCGTTTGCTGAACGATCTCTTGTGTTCTTTTTAGGAATTTCATTTCTCCAAGATATATGAAACTAACATGCGTTTATGACACACGTATGAAAAATACTGTACATTGCTAAGCATCCACAAGCACTCAAACCAAGGCAGCATCTCTTAGTGCAGCTTTGTAAAATGAAATTATGATACATTAGCAAGAAATTTTCGTCCCTCGTGTGCATTGTCATGCAACAATAAATCAATGTGCAGTGATGCAATAGCCCAAGCTTTTGCTCTATTAAACTGGAAGTTATGTACATGGGGACTTTACTCGTTGGCGAATACAGTCAGTCAAATTGACAGATCAGGTCACTTTTTTAATATTGTGCAAGTCGACTGTCGTTCTAGGAGGCCTGTAAAGACAGATTACTTTGTTTTAAAATATATAAAATATTCCCTTGTCAGCAGCGAAAATCTCGCTTTTTGGCTCTCTCTCTTTCTTTTTTTTTTCTAGAGAAAATGACAAGGCAGAACTGTTGTTGGCTGTGGGTTCACGCTTTTTGGTTATCTTCTTTTTTTAACAGACCCACCAGGCGCCAACACTTTGCTTCTTGTGGTAAATCCCGGAATAATGTACCAGAAAATCTTTGGTTTTGGAGGAGCTTTCACTGACGCAGTCGGTTTAAATCTGAGACAGCTCCCAATCCAGCTCCAAGACGCCATTATCGCGTCCTACTACTCACCGGCAGGTAAAATTTGTGTCTCGTTGGCTCAGATAATATGCACAGGGCCTAGGATTGGCTATTAATGCCATTGCGTTAAACAGTTTGTTTCGCAGAAATCCTGGCGTCGGCATCGTTGATAGTGATAAAAAAAATCATATTGTCCGTAAGCGAAAAAATTGAGAAAGATGCAAATAAAATATGCAATAAATAATTTGGCGTCGGAGGATCGAGACCAGGACGTCGGTGGCGACAAGCAGGTGTTCTGCCACAGGGCGACGTTATTGTTTCAATTCATTTGGATGAAAACACTATAGGCACCCGGCAATGCAGTTTAAGAGATCTGATGGTAGCGCCAGAACACACAGCCTATAGCGAGTAGGCGCAGAAAAACCGAGTCTTCCAATGTGTAGCCTAGCGAGCTGACGCAGCAAAACTGGACTTGCACGTGCATATTATTTTCTTTTTTTGTTGTTGTTGTCAGCACGGGGTCATGGCTGATCATGCAAGCGCCCAGAAAGCGGTCTTTCAAAACGTGCCAAAAAAAAAGGTCACTGACACTTCAGCATGTCAGTGTGTTCAGCAAGAGTTTCATTTTCTTGGTATCCCTGGCGGTCGGTACCAACAATGCTGAGGCGGCCTAAAAAGCTCCGTCGCGCCCTCCGGTCCACTGTCGGGTGCCTACACGAATGTCACGTAGAGGAAGGAGTTTCTCGACGCATCACGTATTGCGTGGTGGAAGCAAAGAACGCCGCCCGGCGTCAATACATGTGAATCGAGCAATGAGTGGCTGTTTTAAAGTTTACACCTATTACAAAGTGCTCAGACATATTTAATCAACATTCACAGCAAAACCATCGAATAAGTGACCAGCTGCGTCAGTTCACGTGTTGCCCTGCGGTCGCGTAGGGGGCTGCTGGCTGACTCGCAATAAGAATGATTAAGGCGTAGTGGACACTTAACAACCGCGCTTGCAGTAAGCGCTATTACATACTTTGACACGGGTAATGTTAACGCTCAGTTGTTCGCTTTCTTGCAGCGCGGTTGAGGTACGCACCGAGAACCGACGCAGACTAACATTTCAGGAGGCGACGAGCCCCAAGCCCGACTACGCTGTCGCGATGTGCTCTTGCAGGCAAAGCTCCAGCTTTCTGCATTTTTTTTTTCAATTTTAATTGTATAGTTATGGAAGAGAATGATAAATTCCATTGATTTCTGCTATGTAATCAATTATTGTTATAAACGTGGTCATAATTAGAACTATTATAGTCATTTCTATTGTGATGCTGCAGGCAAAAGCTGACGCGGGGCAGATTTAGTGCATGGACATATAATCAATATGTTTCTCAAACACATGGAAGGCCACATAAGGAAATAATAACCCCGAGGTGAAGAAAAGTAGTATTAGCTTCATGTTGAGGGCAAATTTCCCGATTTAAACTCTCACTGGAGAGTGCGACTGGCTATATATATATATATATATATATATATATATATATATATATATATATATATATATATATATATATATATATATATATATATATATATATATATATATATATATCATTTTAAAACTCATCTGTGAAGCCTCTGTCCTGTTTGAACTGTTACGACATGTATTTGTATGGAAGGTGAGTAAAACACGACAGGCACTCTCGTTCTTTTCTTACAACTTTTGTCAACGAATAAACAAAATATTTCGGTAATTTTTATCGCAAATAATTCATTTACCCGTGAACTATATTTCGTTTATAAAATAGAAGCCGCGAGTGTTCTATGTTTTTGTCTGGGCGCTTAATGAAATAAAAAAGCCAGCATCCGGTCCTTAGTTGTTAATGATTAATTTAGTATTATTAGAATAAAGTTTATTGAGTTGACCACAATCTGGGTGTTCACTGTTAGAACTTCACTTAAACAATTTTAAATATGTCGCTTTGCACCTCAAGAGAGCTGCCTGTTTATGGTACCTCTGTTTTGGCTACAGGTATAGGGTACAGCATTGCCAGGATTCCAATGGCCAGCACTGATTTTTCGATACGCAAGTACACCTATGATGACTACCCAAACGACTTTTCTCTGCTTAACTTCACTCTTGCCAAAGAAGACTTTTACCTCAAGGTACTTGTAGTTATTTTTTAAGCTTAACTTCTGCACAGTTCAGTAAGGTATCCACAAGCATTGTGATTATCCGCATTGCGATTATACACTCCGATTTACCTGTTCGGAAAACGGCCTCAGATTCATAATTAGAGAGGAAAGACGAGAAGTCAATTTTGCATAAGCGTTTGCCGTTATGGATTCTGGGAAAAGCCTTAAATAAGTAGGCAACCATTGTCCAAAGGCGCTAACCGTTCAAGTGTAGAGCACGCCTTCACAGCGACTTTTCGTAGCGCAGTTATTCAAGAGCTCATCGTCAGTAGGTAGCATGAACAGACACGCGGTCAAAAGTAATTCTGCAAGAGTACGAATTCTGACTGGTTGATTCATGATTAGAAGTGGGAAAACAATGCTAGAAAGGCAGGGCAAGGAAGGACAAATACCAAAGTGTCATCTAACATCTGAATTGTTTATTCTCCCAGTCAGCATATATATACCTTTTCACAGGAAGGAAAAAAACACCGCCATGATGGGCTGCGCGCGTCAGTACAACGGCCAAGGGCGCAGCCTTGTCAGTGCATTTTTGAGGGGTCACGCCAATTCGCGCAGCCCAAAGAGGGCTATGGCGGTGCCCAGGGAGGCGTTTTTGAAAAGGTCTATACTACACCACTATGGCAATGAAACGCAATGACGAACGCACGTGACTGATTTATGAAGTTTACCACGTCCGCACTAGCTGTGAGGCATGAGTAAACCTCCAGTTGACTTGCCTCCTAAAAAAAAAAATGTGTTCCTGTACCATTTATCACTTTATTGCTTCTGCGCGTTTTTAATTGCACCACTGTTTTATGTCACTGTTTCATTGCTTAGTGGAGCCACATATATACGCCGATCGCAGTAATAAACTCATTCGGTTCCCAGTGCCGTGGTCTGTCTTTCCTTGTCCCATGCCCTGTTCTTTTTTTTTTGTTTACTTGAAAAAGTATTCGTTCCACGTAAGCCCTAGATTTCATTATGGCGCCAATGTTTGACAATGTAACGGAAGCAAAGTATTTTCAAGTGAGTCATATATTCTGTAGTAAGTTCCGCTAATAGTCAGACTAAAGAACTGCTAAAGTCAACAATTATATTTTCACGTTCATTTTTTTAGATACCATACATGAAAAGAGCAATGTATATGTCGAACATGCCGATATGGTTCTACGGAAGTCCCTGGAGCAGCCCCGCGTGGATGAAGACCAGCCGTAAATTGGAAGGTCGTGGATTCCTCAGAGGAGACCCGGGTGGACCTTTCTACAAGACTTGGGCAGCGTACTTCGTAAGGTATAAAAAGACGTTTTTTGGTTTGTTTTTTCAGCCCAGTTTCGGAGATTGCAATGCATAGAACGTCTTTCTGTAATTCTGGTGTACATTTATTCTCAGCGATATGTAACATGTGATCATACGTTCGTATGCGTAGGTTCCGTTCCGAACACCTGCTCCACCAACACCCCCTCTCCTCCTCACTCTCTCACTCCATTGCTCATAAAGGCTTTTAATGGCCACTAGCAAGAATTTAATACCCTGAACTATTAACTTCCACAATCATGCCGATGTGGCATGTCTATCTAATATCATCAGAGAGGGGTGTTGAACATCTCTATGACTATCTTGCATAAGCGACAGGGTGCCTGTCGTAGTGATGTGCATTACTTTGCAAGAGGAATGACGGTGTGGCCCACTATATGGCTCTGCTTACGTGACGAACAGGAAACGCACATGCTTGTATACAGTTAATTCTTTATTTGTAACAATCAAGTGCAAAGAGGTAGCATTCTCCAAGTAACGTTGACAACAACTCATTCGTTTAACTTATATTTCAATAAAAAACGCTGCTGTTGTAGCAGACGACAATGTCCGCTCCCTCGGCAATTTCTGAAAAAGCTGGAAACTTCTCACTGTATACTCAAAGTGCGTTTTTAAGTTGTTGCCTTGCTGATTTCACCCCTAACGTCTCCAGATTTGTGCAGGCATACGAGAGAGCAGGTATTCCTATATGGGGTCTCACGGTGGAGAACGAGCCGACAGCTGGCCAGATACCTTTTTATCCTTGGCAGACTCTGGGCTTCACACCAGCAACAGAAAGAGACTTCATAAAGCTTGATCTGGGGCCTGCGTTGAACACGGCTGGCTACGGAAGGCTGAAACTTATGATGCTCGACGACAATCGCATCAATATTGGACACTGGACAAGTGTGGTACGTATACACACTTCAAGCAAAAACTGTTACCAATGACTCGTACAGGTCGGTTTTTATGCTATATGAAATGAACACCGTTGGCTGAAACACCTGATGCAGGCGCTCGACCAAAACAAGACAATAAAAAATAAGTGGAGCAGCATTAATCAACTACGCCTTCTAGAATACCATCCAAGTAACGCTTACATCAAGATAAGGTTTCACTTCCGCATTCTATAAAATAATTAGTTATGTGAACACACCATCTTCACTCAATAATATGACTGGCAACGCCGCGCTTGCATAAAGGTAATCACATAATATTTATTCAAGCGCGTAGCCTCTTCGTCGGCGGATACAAGGTGGCTGAATTGAATTGACTTTTACGACAAAATAGAGGACAATAGGACTTCAAAACTAACCCACTGTTTTCCCCGACGGCGTTTTTAATTCCTTGGCAACCATTCTGCTGCTCTCAATGTCTATCGGTTGTCTGTTCATGTAGTGCGTACAACAGCCATTCGGTGGACAGTAAAAGGCACAGAATGATTATCAAGGGATGGATGTAAAACGCAGTCGAGAAAAGACAGAGAGTCAGATGCAGTGACGAAGTTAGGAAGTTCGCACGGATAAAATGAAATAAGCTCGATCAGGATGGGGTAAACTGGAAGGCTCCGAGAGAGGCCTTCGTTTCGCAGCGGATTGACACCAGCTGAGAATGATAATGATGATAAAGACCGCGAGAAGCCTATTCATTAGTCGGAACGTAAATAGTGCTGGTGATTTGTGTTCCTTGAAAAAACAGGTATGGAAAAAAAAGATATGATCAATGAGTGTTACACAATGTTGCCTTGCATTTATTCTCTTATTTCTAATGTACCTGATACGCGACGTAAATCGGTATCGGGCTTTCGCAATTGTGTCATAAGGTGCAGACGCAGTTTCCGATAATATATATTATTTAGTAACATTCATTGTTTTATAACATTGTGCATCATCTTTAACCATGAAGCAACGCTAAAGTGAGACTGGTATTCGGTCAGCAATGTACGATCAATTGTCGACAGCTGCCATCAAGGGTGTAATAGGTTTATTTATCGTACAGGACGGAACACAAGACTCTAGAGAAACCCCTATCGTACACGGTGATTGTATATATACGCATAACTCTTTCTACCCCCCCCCTTTCATCTTCCTTATCGCTTCTTTATTCCCCTTTCCCTTTCCACCTGTGCAAAGCAGCAGGCTAGAGTGCACTACATCAGGCCGAACTCTGTGCCTTCAAAACTAATTCTTTCTTTCTCTTTAAAGCGTGCAACGACAATGCATTTGAAAATTCACAAACGATAACGATACTGCCCAATGTGAATTCCGAGTGCAGCCCCGCGTCGGAGTAATGCCAGTGTTTGGAGCTTTGGCTATCCGGAACAATAGCAATGTAACATTCGTTGCATATTTCCACTGAGGCTGCCAGGGCTCGAGTGCTATATGTATATGCACACCCCACTTTGTACATTGCATGTGTTGGACCAAGCGAAGCTCCGACCACTTTGTTACGGTCGGAGCTTCGCTTGTTCAAACTACTTTGTTACAGCCGCAGTGCATGTGCTAGCCTGAATGCGCGCTGTCTCCTACCGAGGGGGATAGCGCGCGTGACAGAGGGGAAAAAAACGAAGTTAGAGGCAAGTGGCTCGCGATATCGACAGAATCTGAGTTCACTCTCTCCCGTCCTCGTCCACTCTATCGGTTACGCCACCAACAACAACGACAACGCTACTCAACGCGCATTAGCTGCGCTCTAAATTATAGAAGTAGCGAACAAGGCAAACTAACTTCCGAATCATCTGAAGTTGTGCGAAACAAAGCTTAACTCAGAGCCTTCGAATGAGTTACTTGACTAAAAGAACCACAAATACTTGTTTTGGTAATCTGTTAATCTTAACACGCAGGTATTGGGCGATCCGGAAGCGGCAAAGTACGTCCATGGAATCGCTGTTCATTGGTATATGAACCGTATGGTCGGACCACAGGTTTTGGATAAGGTTCACGAGAGTTACCCGGACAAGTTTATACTGCCGTCCGAAGCCTGCACTGGCTACCAGAAGGAACGAGGCGTCAGGTTAGGCAGCTGGGAACGGGCAGAAGAATACGCCTTTGATATACTCCAAGTGAGACGATCTTCCTTACTTTAGAAAGTCTTTTTCATTTATTTTTTTTTCACTTATATGAACCCTTAAAGGCCCCTTGCGGGGTATTACATAAGGGGGAGGCAAAAACACAATTCAACAGATGCATGATTGTCAATGGTACAAAGCATAATTGAAAGTGAACTACATGATAAAGAACAATGTCAACAGAAGGAAATATATATATATATATACGTGGACGAAAACGGGAACAATTGTAAATTAACTAACATATCAAGTGATTTGTGATTAGCTGTTTAAATTTTAAGGGGTTTTGTTCGTTCACTATATATTCAGGCAGGTTATTCTTGTCTTCAATGGCAGTACGTAAAAATGATTTATTGAAAGCGTTAGTTGAACCATGTAAGCGCTGTAAACATAGGGAGTTAAAGAGGCGACGCGATGAACGGGCGGGAGGTAGAAGAACGGTATTGCGTTGCGATGGGAAATTATGGTATAGTTTGTGCAGAAGGCAGAGCCGAGTGACTTTGCGGCGAATTTCTAGAGGAGGGAGGTTGAGAGATAGTTTGATACTGGTAATACTTAAGCGAGAACTGTATTGTGAGGTGATGAATTTGGCAGTGCGATTTTGAATTGCTTCTAATGCGTCGATTAGGTAATTTTGGTGAGGGTTCCAAATAGCAGAAGCATATTCGAGTTTAGTACGCGTGAAGGTTTCGTAAGCTAATTTTCGGATGTGCGGTGGGCAGGACGAAAGCGATCTTTTAATGTAGCCAAGTGATTTTGCTGAAGCGGTGACTAGTTGTTCTATGTGCTCGGACCATGTTAGTTTACTTGTTATTATTACGCCAAGATAACGATAGGAGTCGACCTGGGTTAAGGGTTGGAAGTTCACAGAATACCGGAAGGAATAGTTAGTGCACTTGCGCGAAACTTGCATAAATTTACATTTTTGTGTATTAAGCTGCATTAGCCACCGCGAACACCAATTATGTATGTTAGACAAGTCATTCTGGAGTGTAATTTGGTCAGTGCAACATGAGATGCGACGATAAAGCACACAATCGTCTGCAAAAAGGCGGATGGTGGATGAAATTTTGTCTGGAATATCATTAATAAAGATTATAAACAAAAGAGGCCTAAGAACGGAACCTTGCGGTACACCGGAAACTACGTCAACACGGGTTGATTTATTATTCACGACAACAGTATACTGAACACGGCCGGTTAGAAAATTTTTAATCCAAGATAGGGCTAAGGGGTCTATACTGAGACTGTATACTATAGTAGCAAGAAAGTGAGGAAGATTGCGCATTCCAATTTTCACGCGCCGTGTTTATGCTTAACTTCCTTCCGCAAACGAAGTTTTTAAACTAAATGTAAAAAAAACTTTGTATATAAGAAGACCCACATTGTATTGTGCTTTCTAAACATCCACGGGCGTTTGAAACAACAGTGGGAGTAGTTACATTCATTTACAAAATCAATATAGTTTCGCGTATTTTGTCTTCGCAACGAACTTTGAGTTCCATTTTACGACTCAAATGGCTGAGCCACAACACATTCAAGACATAGCATCAGGTACGTCTGGTCTGGTGTCTGGTCACCTCATTTTTTTAATGAATTGTGGATCATTCCCCGCCAAACTTCCCAGTATTGTGGTGACAACCTCAACTGTATAAAAATTTGGGGGGGGGGGGGGGGGTCTATTGGACTAAAAACGGTGGGCCCTTAAAATATTAGGAGGGAAAAATTTTTGTGGTCCAATTCTGGTCCAATTTTTGTGGAGCGTTCCCGAGTGGGCCTAGCCAGGGGACGCTGAGTTAGCTCGCGTCTATTGTGGACCTAATAAAGTTATTTTACTCTCTCATGCACTCCCATGGGAGCCTCCTGAAGTTTCGCTGAATGTTTCCTGAGAGTTTTTTTGTTGTTGTTGTGGTTGTTGGAAGGTTAATTCTGAGAGTATCTTTTCTCGTTTCCATAACATTTTGATTACATATTAAGAAAGTGCATTTGTGCGAGTTGTCTGAATTTACACTGCACTATACTGCAATATTTCTGCCGTATACACTTTCAGTAATTTCGCGATAACGCCTTTTGCTTGAATGTATTTTCAGAAGTATGTCCGTACTTTTGTACAGTAGAACAACAGATATTGATTATACGAAAGGCATATATCGCGTTAAAATATTTTAAGGCTACAGAAGTTTCTCAATTTTACGGGGAGAAGTCACAAATTTAGGAAAATTATCATTTTGGCACACATTGAGACGAAATCAACGCCACGTTGTGCTTCAATTAAATCAGTTTATTACTTCAATCGAAAGCAAATAAATAGTTCTTGGTATATGGTAAGCTCTATCATTACAATTCTCGTTTTATGGAAGAAAATAGTTTTTGTGGTTTCCCATTGACAGAAATGGCAAACTTCAATGAAGAAGTTAACTAGAAATGGCTACTAATACAACATAGTACTACTACGAGGGAATGATCCACACCCTAAGAAGCTTCGTCCTTAAAATATTTCCCTCCAAAGTATTCTTGCGACACACTGACTTCAATGCACTAAGTAACCACTTTTTTTAGAATAAATTTGAGGTGGTAGCCAGAATAGTTGAAACATTTCGCATCATATGACCCTTATCTAAGCGTAGGGATGGAAAAAAACATTTATTTTAATCCAAGAGTAGGGAATTGCTTCGAGATCGATCCTTGGATAGCACACCGTATGTTATGAAGAGTGAACTTCTGCAGTACTACCCATCAGTTAATGTTTGCTACTTCATTCATACTACTTTACCCCCCCCCCCCTACTTCACGCTCCCATATTACATTTTATGTGCAGCACATATAATCACCCTTCATTTTCGAAGCGCAGGACCTCAATCATTGGGCTAGCGGGTGGACGGACTGGAATCTGGCTCTGGATACTGAAGGCGGCCCCAACTGGGCTAGAAACTTCGTCGACTCGCCCATCATAGTGAATGCTACTGCTAAGGAGTTCTACAAGCAGCCAATGTACTACGCCCTGGGTCATTTCAGGTAAGCGTTTTTCTTTCCAGAAGAACCAAGAGAAGTTTTCAGCCCTAGCTATATATCTTTCAATACGGGTACTAAATTTAAAATATCCAGTGAATATAATGGCTAGCTTGCAAATGATTTCATGCAACTATGCTTTTTTTTTTCTTTCACAGCAAGTTTCTTCCGCGGGGCAGCGTCAGAATCGACTCTCGTCTCATGCAAGGTTCAGCTAAGATCGAATACGCAGCTTTCTTGACACCAAAGATGACAGTCGTTGTCATAGTCCTTAATAAGTGAGTATGCTTTGTTTCGTTTTATGGAAACCTAATCTCACATACTTTACCATGAAAGTATTTGCTTGGCGTTGATGGTATGTGAACGATCTATTTTGCTGTCAAATGATGGTTTGTCTTCATCCACTTGACGATGATGACTCACAAGTTCTAGAACATGCTTGACAATACGCATTCGATAATCATACGCTTTAGGAAGCTATTGATTCTTTAGTTGAGATTACAAGGGCTTTCAGCTATTTCTTCGTTGTATATCCACAACGTTTACTTTGAACACATTATTCCATGTTTTAATATGCCATGGATATTTTCAGTTTCTTATTGTACTTCAAACGCAGGCCTGTATGATTCTCAGAAGGAAACACATCCTACACTTATTTAAACATGAATAGAATATTCAAAAATGTTAAGTTGGTATTATTTAGTGTAGAAATAAGTTTTACACGAGTAGATAGAAAATAACTGAATGCAGAAACAGCGCAACCTAGAAGAAGTTACTTCGTAACTACGGATAGGAAAACAAGGAAGCATGAAAGAATCCAAAGACACGAAAAACAAGCACTAACACATTATAAACGCTGACACGTGTGCACTCATGATGCGACCATCTAACGCAGAAATCGAACTTCAGCCACTGATGACAAAAGACGCCGCGTGAACTACTAGGAATGAAAAAGTGTGGAGAACTTGGTACGAGAACATTCAAACAAATTGAATACTAAAAGGTGGCACAAATGGATATTTTACGGCTCTGTCATGGCCTGATAGAGATGGTTTGCGATGACAGACCTTATATTTGTTCATCTCTTTTATTTTCAGAAGCAACGAAAAAATCAAGCTACACGTCATGGACGCGTATAGATCAACCAGCGTCCAGAACGTAATCGAAGAACGGTCAATAACAACATTTACTTGGCGTTTGTAGAGTACTATACAGTTACCGTTCATAAACACATCAGGTAGTGCCACACGCTTATTTTGTCCTTTCAAAGACACATTTTTTATGATTTCTCATTCAACGTTGCGACACCCTACATCTGTCACATCAAATCATTTACAAAACTGGCATCTGACTATACTCACGGCCCAGGATGGCAGATGGTTGATTAGGCGCGGACCCGTGCAGAATAAACAAATGATTATGGGTGGCTTGTTGGGCAATTTGCCACTTAGCTATAGAAGTAAATAAATACTAGCAACACCAAAAGAAATCAGGAGAAGTCGACACAAGACAGCCGTAGTAGAGGAACAAGATGGATACCAGCATCCTTTCTGTTGCTGTCTTTTTCATTGTCCCAGTTTCACCTGCTTTAATTTGCTGCTCCTGGCATTCCCTTACCTAGAATATGCAGTTCATAATTTTAACTTAATCGGCTACAAGTTACGATCATTCTTTCGTTGTTCCGCACCCTTCTACTGTCTTCCCTCTGCCGTAACTGCGTATTCATAACGACGCCATGCTAATACGACGTCATCATAAACCACCATCAAGCCATCATAGTCGTCTCACTGCTGCAGTCATCTGGCTCAGCAAATATCAGAAGAGCCTTCGAAAAACTATCAATCCTTGCCGATCGCTTGCGATCCGCAAGGAATGGAAAAGATTTGCAACACAAAGATCCTGTTGGTGTGGTGGACCTCTCTGCACACAAGTTTTGTTGTCGTCCACATTCACTGTTTCTCTTTTTCCTTCTTCGCCTTTACCTAGAGTGAAGTCACACGAAGTAATAGACCAATTCATCTGTCCTGCAAATAAAATTGTTTATGTCTTCTTCTCTCTGTCTTTCAGTTGAACTACATACTCATAAATAATTACAATTCTGTAGCTACAGTACAGACTTCCGTCTTTAAAGGACCTTGCAACACTTTTCTACTGTAGTTCGAAAACTCTGCCACTTGGTAGTCAAGGATCCTGGGAACATGTGAGCCAATATTATAGCGCAGCTTGCAGCCGCCTAGAATTCACAATCGGCTCTCAAAGTCCGCTGGAAATCGTTCCCACTTCTCGCTGCAAATTATGTCATAAACTTATATGTCTGCGCCATAAAATCAGAGTCCACTGCCGTCGGTTGACATGAGCATCGTGAGCTGCATATTGCCAACCACACATAGTTGGTCGACTACAAGAGCGGCTCTCAATATGCAAGAAAAAAAGAAGATCGCGTCCTTCTTCTCGACTCGAGAGCCAGCCACGACTGACGCATCGTCCTAGAGCTAGCTACTCGGTGGTTTATAAACCCCCAGTACTTGTGGTTCATCGTGACAAAGTGGTGGAAGGTGTTGGGTAGTCTCATGGATGCTGCAGACCCCCCCCCCCCCCCCAGGAAGCCGTCATACGAGTCCAGTGCCAGTCAATACTCCCGTGCATTGGACCAGCCACCGAATCAGGGGATTGCCTCCGGAAGTCAACGATACTGCTCCCACCACGTCAACAAACATGACCAGCGGTTCGGTGCAAACCTCGCCAACCGGCACGAGAAGCATGACGTCGAACCGCTATACGTTGGAAAGCCCACGGGCACCGGCGACGTTCCATGGTAAGGAGCACGAGGACGTTGAGGACTGGTTGGTGGACTTAGAGCGCGTAGCCACCTGGAATCAGTGGGACGACGTGGCGAAACTGGATCGTGTCTATTTCTATCTCGAAGACAGGGCACGTAGGTGGTATCAAAATCGAGAGGAGCAGCTGACGGCATGGTCCGAATTCTCTTGTAGACTTCTGCAGACTTATGCCAGCGCTGATCGCGAAGAAAAAGCTGAACGAGCTATTCTGGCCCGCGTCCAGTCGCCAAATGAAACTGTGACCACGTACGTCGAAGACATGACGCGCCTCTTCCGACGGGCCGATTCAAGAATGACGGAGGACAAGAAGTTGCGTCACTTTATGCGCAGTGTCAAGGACCAGCATTTTGCCGGCCTCGTGCGAAACCCTCTGAAGACGGTTGCGGAGTTCTTGTCTGAAGCCGTGACAATGGAAAAATGCTGCTGCAGCGATCCAACCAATACGACAGGCAAGTCAGTGGCATGTCCACTGCTGACATTTTCACTGCCACTGGGACCAGCGATGACTCTCTACGGGAAGTCTTCCGTAATATTGTACGTGAAGAGTTGCAAAAGGCTAGTGTAACACCTCATCCTACGGTTAGCTCTATTGCAACTGTGATCAAGGATGAGCTGCACCAGACCCTCCGGGACACCTTGTTTCCTGATACAGCTGCACCAGCTCCTGCTGAATACCCCCATGGGACAACCTACGCGGAAGCCTTGAAACGCCCTGCTGCATCGCCGCCATCGTTCGTTCAACCTGTCCCTGCTGTTTCACTCGAGTCAGCGTAGCACATACCATACTACGAAGGCACGTACACGCCACCGCCCCTGCCCTTTGTCCGTGGTGCTTCTGTCGCCCATCGTTCGGTGCAACCGGTCCAGTACATCGACGATCGGTACACGTCTCCTCGCAAGTCTGATGTTTGGCGCACACACGATCACCGGCCTCTATGCATTCACTGCGGAGAAGCTGATCACTTGTACCGCCAGTGCCCATATCGCCGTTTTGGGCTTCGCGGCTTCTCTGCGTACTCGCCGCCACTCCGTTACGGCAAGAGACCACGCGACATCGAAAACTACCTCTCCCAGCAGCATGCACCACCGTCCACCGTCCACCGGGCGCCAGTCGTGCTCGCCATCCCCGAGGTGATTTTCATCAATGCCCCAGTGGTATTCTACCGCACAATCTCCCAGCCCCCGCCCGGAAAACTAGCCCAAGCGACCTCTGGGGGCGGGGTCGCTGGACGTCGAAGCGCTGAAGACCTCCTATTGACGCAGAACCATACATAAACTGGTCCGACATCACCTGCTGCTGCAAAGGATAGCCGGCTTTTACTCGACGTAGCAGTGACAATTGATGGTTGTGTAGTTAATGCGTTAGTGGACACCAACGCAGACTATTCTATACAGAGCGGGAAACTGACAACGCAGCTGAAGAAACTTATCACGCCATGGCACAACTCGCAGATTCGGACAGCTGGTGGCCATGTCATTACTCCAGTGGGCGCCTGCACAACTAGACTGCAGATTCAAGGTTATACATTCGTAGCAAGCTTCCTTGTTCTACGTGAATGCTCCCGTGACCTCATTTTGGGAGTTGACTTTCTACAGGAAAATGGAGCTATCATTGATCTGCAAGAGTGCCACGTGACGTTCTCAACCCAGCGAGCAATCAACGTGCAGGATGACGGAAGGCGTGTCGACGTATTCCGTATTTCTGAACAGAGCATGACGCTTCCACCCCGAGCAAGTGGTCTAGTCGACGTAACATGCTGTGGTTTGAGTGATGGCGATGTGGTGGCCGAGACAAATTTAGAACACCTCCTGCAACAAGGTATCTGTGTAGCTAGACGCGTAATACACGTTCGTGATGACCGATCTGAATTGCTCGTTACCAACTTTAGCAACGAGCATCGACACCTTCTCCGTGGCACTTCGATAGCGTTTGCCCACGAAGTAGCAAACGTAACCAACTGTCTCACGTCAGAAATAGTGGATAACGCAGACACGTCAATGAGTAATATTGACATCAATCCTGATCTGTCCACCGATAACCAGACTACGCTGTGAGCGCTCTTGTTCGAGTTCAGGTCTTGCTTCGCAAGTTGCTCAAAGATCCGCCAGACGTTCATCACTCAACACAGGATCATCACGTACAAGGACGCACGCCCAATACACCAGCACCCGTACCGCGTGTCGGCTAAAGAACGTGAAGCGATACGTACGCAAGTCCACGAGATGATTGACGATGACGCTATCGAACCATCCAACAGCCCGTGGTCATCTCCAGTCGTGCTTGTCAAAAAGAAGGACGGGTCGCTACGCTTCTGCGTCGACTACCAAAAAGGGTGTGTACCCGCTGCCACGTATCGACGATTCGCTGGATAGACTTCATCGTGCCCATTATTTAACTTCTCTCGATCTCTAAAGCGGGTACTGGCAAATCGAGGTAGATCAGCGAGACCGCGAGAGGACAGCCTTCGTGACTCCAGATGGCCTATACCAATTTAGGGTACTCCCTTTCGGCTTGTGTTATGCGCCGGCAACTTTCCAGCGATTGATGGACACTGTCCTAACAGGGCTCAAGTGGCAGACTTGTCTGCCTTGATAATGTGGTGGTCTTTTTTGCCACGTTCGAGCAGCACCTTCACTGCCTGCGCAGCATGCTGGAGGCTATCCGATCGGCGGACCTCACACTAAAGCCACATGAGTGCCACTTCAGCTATGAAGAACTAAAATTTCTTGGACATATAGTTAGCGCCGTAAGGCGTCTGGCCCGATCCGGACAAGCTCGCCGCTGTTTCCGAATTACCAGCTCCTGTCGATAAGAAAGCCGTCCGGCGCTTCCTTGGTTTGTGCGCCTACTATCGCCGGTTCATTCACGGCTTTTCGCAGATAGCCGAACCTCTGACTCATCTCACAAGGGACGACACGCCGTTTGTCTGGGAAAACGAGCAACAAGCAGCTTTTGATGAACGGCGACAGCGCATGCAATCAGCGCCCGTTCTCGCTCATTTCGACGATGATGTTGACACGGAGGTCCATACTGACGCTAGTAACGTTGGGCTCGGTGCAGTGCTCGTTCAGCGTCAAGAGGACATCGAAAGAGTGATAGCCTACGCCAGCCGCTCTCTATCCCGGGCCGAAGCGAATTATTCCACTACGGAGAAAGAGTGCCTCGCTGTCGAGTGGGCAATCCCCAAGTTTTGCCCGCACCGTTATGGTCGTCCCTTCAAGACGGACCACCACGCTCTCTGTTGGTTGGCAAGCCTGCGCGACCCTTCAGAACGGCTAGCACGGCGGAGCTTGAGGCTGCAGGAACTTGACGTCACCATCGTCCATAAGTCCAGCCGTAAGCATGAAGACGCTGACACACTGTCACGCGCACCCCTTCACGTCGTTAGTCAGGAAGCAGAGGAAGACGGAGGCTTCCTGGGCGCCATTAGCTCATCAGACGTGAGCAAACGGCAGTGAGATGACGCAGAGATTCGTCCGATCATCGATCATTTAGAGGACCAGTGCACAATCATACCATGTCATTCATCCCGCTCGTTGACGTTTTCTCCCTTCGAGACAGTGTGCTGTACAAGAAGAACGCTCGTTCAAACAACCGTGCTTACCTCCTGGTGGTTCCTCGAGATATGCGAGATGACGTCCTCTTCGCTTGCCATGATGAACCCGCATATGGTCATCTGGGCTACTCACGGACACTTGCCAGAGTGAGCGAGAGGTACTATTCGCCAGGACTTTCGGCAAGCATCAAGAAGTACGTCAAGAGCTGTCGGGAATGTCAGCGCCGAAAGCAACCGTCTGTTAAGCCAGCTGGTTTGCTTCAGCCCATTGAAGCACCTTGCACGCCGTTCGACCAAGCCGGCATGGACATTTTCGGGCCATTTCCCCTGTCTGCGGAAAGCAACAAATGGGTGATTGTGGCGACCGACTATTTGACACGCTACGCTGAGACGCAGGCGATCCCACGAGCCACGGCTTCTGAGGTAGCACAATTTTTCATGCTTCACATCGTGTTACGACGCGGTGCTCCTTCCAGTATACAATAACGGACAGAAGGATGGCATTCACGGCGCTGCTTATGGACGAAGTTTCCAAACTGAGCAACACCAGACACCGAAGGACAACTGCGTA